GGTGTTGATCATAAAGCATGTTATTCTATTCATGCACAAATTGCAGGGCCAACTGAGAATTTCAAAAAAGAAAAATCTAATAAGGGAGGACTTTCTTTATCTTCTTTTCTTTCCTCTCACAACATTGGGGACAATGTTGAAAATAAGTGTGGGGAAGGGGTTCTACCCACAATTCACAAAAAGTTGAAAATTTTCAAAATTTTTAATTTTCTTATGTATATTTTCTTATATCTTTTTATTTTAAACTTTTAGCATTAGTTTGAGCTTTACCCTTATGAGACTTTTAAATACTCGATGATAGAAATAATGCAGCTTTTTGTCAACTCTTAGTGTGTATATTGCATGCGACTAATTGTTAATTTCTTTATTTTTTTTAATAACTTTGTCAAAAACATCAAAAACAAAAAAAAAACAAAAAAAAAAAACAAAAAAAGTAGAATATGAAAAAAAAAATACCCTTATATGTTTTATACATCTTCCTTGATAATTTTTATGCTTATTTCACTTTATATTACTTTTTTCAAATTCTTTAATAGTTTTTGAGTGCTATAAATTGTGTAGTGTGTTGGTTCAAGAATCACTGTTGTGGCATAAGTGAGGTTAAAAAAATATAAAAAGAATAAAAATGGATGTTTTATTTATTTATTCTTTTTGCAATAATTTCAGAGATTCTACTCCGCTGAATAAGCCACCTACACATGTACCATAAATAAATAAATAAGTGTTGTGGTCTGGTTTATGAGTACACACGAAATTGAAAACCCGAACATGCCTGGCGTAAAATGGCGAGATTTTTTTGAGAAAGTTCTCTTTGGAAAAAGTCATAAACATAAAAATAAATAAATAAATAAATAAAAATAACGAGTGAACTTTGGAAGAGACGAGCATTTGCATTTTAATTTTTAATAAATGCCTTGATCCTTGTTCTTTCATGAAATTTGCACCAGCACTGTGATAAAATTTCTGAATTTTGTTTAGGTTTTATTTTGTGAAATTTTCATATTTATTTTATCGAGTCTTTGTATAACTCATATAAGGGGTATCAACACACGATCACAAGTTTTATATTTATTTTAGTTGCTAAAGTTTTTAATTTCTAGTCAATTGTTTTATGTATTCTTTGAGTTGACATTAATTTTGCATTGATGGGGCAAATAAATTTAAAAGGCTATTTGGGTAAAGCTCAGTCTAATACTTGATTTAATTTTTTTTCTTTAATTTTTCTTTAATAATACCTTTGCTTGAGGACAAGCAAATAAATAAGTGTGGGAAAATTTGATAATCATTATTTTTGTTGTTATTTTTAATAATCTTTTTATAGTTAATATACAATAATTGATTAATTTTATATCTATTTTTATTTATTATTGTCATAGGTAGCTTTATTAATATTATTATACTTTAGGATTGTTTTTATTAAATTTGTCTATTATTTGAATTTTGTCAATCTAATAATTCTTTGATCCTATTTAATAATAATATTATTAATTTTAGTAGTACATAACCAGCAGGAGTTTAATAATTGTAGATTAGTTATATATGGACTCTAATGTATTTAAGCTTTTAATAAGATGTATTTTATTTCATTAGTAAAAAAATAATAATTATTTCGTCGAGACTCTTTCAACAACAGCCAGTCAAAACAATGAACGGAAATAGAGCATCTCGTTCGGCCATGGTAGCTGCTTGCGGAACTTTGACCGACTATAGCGCAGAACTTGAGAAAATTGTTGGGTTCAAACAGTATAAATACATGCGCGTTCAATGAAGGTGGGATCATCAATTGCCCCTGGACCAATTCCGGAGGCATTAGCGGGAGTTTTTTTATCGGCAGGTATTTCTGGGTTCGACGAAGCTTAGTTTGGCGGTGGAGAATTGATTTCCGGCGAAAGCAATTTAATCTAGAGGTAGCACTCCTTTTCGGCTCTAATATTCTGGTTCTTTTTTTCCTTAATACGTGTGTTGCACTTGTTTTACTTTCAATCTTGTAAGTTCCATATTTTGCCTATTTTGATTTGTTTTGCAATTAAATATGAGCTGCTCATGATTAGTCTTTTCACTGTTAATTATTAATGACATTGCTTAATTGTTTTTAGTCTCTCAATGATGATTTGCTAATTAATTAATGTTCTTAGCCTTTTTTCGCTGTTATGTTTTTCTTGCCTTGCAATTGCATTTATTTAATCCATTTTGATTGTCAATTCTATTTCCTTAGCTGTTGATTATTATATTTTTCTAAGTTATTTTCATCAATTGAAACTTTATTTTAAATTCTCGCTTTTCACTCTTTTAAGTAATTAATTAAATTGCATTGTTACAATTCCCTGTGGGGTTGACTCTTGCTTTGCACACTATTACTACAGTGACTCGTGCACTTGCGAGGACATATATTAAAATTGTCCATCATAGCACAATGGAATATAATGTGATAAGAAAATGCAAGTAAAAAGCAAGTAAAAGAAAGAAAACAAGACTTCCTAAGCCAACATGCTACTCATGCCAACAACACAACATCCAATACTGTTGTCATCCCGAGCTACGACGCCATTTTGACGGAAGTAGTAGTTTTGGCGGAGTGATGGAAAGAAGAGTGGGAATGAAGATTTTCGGGATGTCGTTCTCTAAGGATTGACACTTTGGAATTGGATATCATATTAGCTAACACAATTACACATTTGCTACAAGAAGCTAGGAAGGTGCGTGGTAAGGAGTTGCATTAACGAATAAGAAGTAGGCAAGGAAAAATAAGGAAGGCACAAGTGAATTTAATCAATAGAAAGTAAAGCAGATAAGGATTTTGTGTGCCAATTGCAATGTGTGATTAACTACTCCAAAGGTTGGGTGGTGATTGCATGTTGTGACACAAGTCAAGAGGAATGACTTGCTAGTGCGTAGTCATTTCGGTCTATACGCCTCCCGTAGGTAGATATGACACCCAAGTGTTCACATCCTCTACGAGGAAATTTAACAAACACCTTGCCTACATTCCTTTCCGGGCCTTGTCCTCTCGGATCTAGGGCAGGAATTGCAAGCGGAAGGAGTCTAGGATTATGTCTCAATCTCTTGACAACATAATCCTTCCTAAACTTACAAGCATGTGGTGCACTCACACACAAGAGTCATTATAAGCATTCATCTTCCAACAAGACATTCAAGCCAACAACATTCAATCACTACAATATCACAAATCAAAATAAGCTAATCATCACAAATGCAATCTATACCACAATCCTAATCCCTAGAAATTTACTTACTCATATTCATGCTCAATAATCCCAACAAATACAAAATAGGCATCATCATGAAATTAAGCAATAGAAGAATAGATTAAAGAGATTACCCAATTTGTAATGTCTAGATTACAAAAAAATTTGTTAGTGTTTTAAATAATCTAAAAACCCCAACATGTAATTGACATTATTATTATGGAAAATTAGATAGGCTTTAGTTTAGAGTCAGTCAGTCCCTGAAGTATGAAGTCCTAATTGATTAGGTGATTCGTTAGAAGCATATCTGAAGATTAAAGCCGTTAGAAGACATTTATTGAAGGAGCGTATGTGCTAGCATATGCTATTGTGGCATGAGGTGTATTTACAAGAAAGTCCTCAATTACTTGGACACCTCAAGGGTATGGATGTAATTACATTAAGGAGCTATTTGAAGTTTTGATTACGTGCCCTACAACCTTCAACCAAAGATATATATTATGGGGGCTGATTCAAGAAAGGTTACACATTCATACAATACAACTCTTGAATTTGAAATAGCTCTCTCAATGTTCTAAAAAGTCTCTTTGGTTATCATCTCTTCTCAAGACATAAAATTCATGGTGATTACGAAGATGAACTTGAGAAGAAACAACTGTGCTTAAACAATGGACGCGAAGATCACTAAGTTGTGAGAACAGCGTAGGATTGCGTCATTGAAGCAAACTGCATCAGAGTTAGCTCTCCATTGAAGGGATTTCATGGACTTCTGAATGCATGGTTCTCCGTCTTCAACAATCCACTAAACCTCTGTAGATTGGGTACTGACCTAGTGTGGGGCACTTGGGTGAGATTGTTTTTCCACTTTTGTACATTGGATTCTGAGTTAGTGGATTGGACACATCGGTGATCGTCCCCCAGATGTAGATACACACTATATAGAACTGGGTAAACAAACCTGTATGTTGATTTACTTTCTGCTTTACTTTGTCGCACTTTTTCTTATCTGTTAATCTATCTGTGTGATTGTCTAATTAACTGGTTGTGTCAATCTGCCCACTAACTGTTTGATAAGAAAGTAGGTCAATATTGTAGATAATTAGAATTTGCAAAACTACAAAATCAATGTTGAAGATGAAGATCCTACAAGTTGTGCTTGAATCTCCTTCTTCTTCTTGCAAATTTGAAGGTATTGAGAGCTAATTTCTAGAGAGAAGGTAGAGAGAATTCTAATCTAATCTAACCTAAAAATATAGTAAGAGAAAGATTGAAAAGATTCTAATGTTGATAATCAATTCATATATGAAATTTTAGCATAAAAATCTCGCCCAATATTTCAGCCTCCCAATTACCCGTCGTCACTGTGTGACGCCTTGCGTGACTAGGGATCCTGACACGTTTTTTTGCTGAATTTGATTGTCTAGATGTCCAGATTAGCCTTTGTGGTCTTCATAAAAGTTGTAGCTCTTTGAAATGTTGATCCAATGTCACTTGAATCACCTCATTTGGACATCCCTAGCTTCATATATGCTCAAATTACCGAAATATCCTGAAAATGTCAATATTTTGCTATTTTCTATAAATGCAACCACAATTAGTCCTTGTGCCTAACTTTAACCAAAATAAGCTATTCTAAGCATATAATAGGCTTAAAGGACTCTAATTATAGCAAAATATGACTCCCAAATTGTAACACCCACTTTTCTAACTCTTAATTATCTCTCTAAATAGACCTTAACATAATTTAAGCAGCGGAAAACTAGATAAAAGTAGTGAGGGTGTCACCGCCACAACCACCACTCTTGGTGATTGCACATGCTAAAAGGGGTAAAACTATAATATACGATTAAGTCTGGGTACTAAAGTAAATACTGAAAAGTAAGAGGGAAATACGTCACCCCAAAATAGTCTACAAACATCATCATAAAGTATAGGGTCATAAGTCTAAATCCATAAAGACATCATAAATAGAACTAGAGTTTAGACAGCTCAAACTAAGAGACTGATCTAACTCGATCTTCTCTCACTGCTGGGCCCACCTGAAAGGGGTTTTGCAAGCAACACATAGACAAACAGGAAAACACTCGTTAGCACGAAGCTAAGTATAACCACACTCAACCCTGTAAAGCTTTCTAGCATGTATTTGGAAAACATTTGATATCATTATATCAATAAATTAATCTCAAACCATCTTTAGATTATCGTATTCTTTCTAGATGCTTGGACCCTATAATAACAACTGACATGCTTATATATGTATAAGACTAATCACGTATATTCATCAACATGTAGACTTCTCAAATAACTTATCAAGCAATTCATGCTTACAGATAGGATCATGTTTAAAGATCATATAATAGGTGTTCACATGCGATCACGCTCTTATCACATAACTTATTAAGTAGAACTTCTACTACATCAAAATAATCGTGCTCAAGAGAATATCTCCAGTTAGTTTTCTCATTAAACAATCTTTTACGATACTCTATTCGCATACAATCATGTATAACATTATGATCATGCTTCTCACGCAATCTAGTGCAACAATATAGTCATACTCTTATGCAATCTAGTGCAACAATATACTCATGCTCTTATGCAATCTCGTGCAACAATATACTCATGCTCTTATGCAATATCGTGCAACAATATACTCATGCTCTTATGCAATCTCGTGCAACAATATATCATGCTTTTATGCAATCTCGTGCAACAATATAATCATACTCTTATGCAAAATAGCGCAACAATATAATCATACTCTTATGCAATCTTGTGCAACAATATACGCATATTCTTATGCAATCTCGTGCAACAATATACTCATGCTCTTATGCAATCTCGTGCAACAATATACTCATGCTCTTATGCAATCTCGTGCAACAATATAATCATACTCTTATATATAAAATATAGTATTTTCTATGGAGGTTTCTTTGTTACTTTCTCAAGTCTCTCTTGACTCTCTTTCTTTCTATCGAGTCTATATTGACTCTCATACTTGAGTCTCTGTTGACTCTATTTCTTGAGTCTCTGTTGACTCTCTTTCTTTTCTCTTATACTCGTAGACGGCTTAGGGTCTCACAGAAGTGTGACTTACCCCATCGGGAACGGCATAATTCCGACCCAATATCTCTTACCGTCTACGGAACTAATCTTGTGGTTCAAACTCTTTGGAATCAGGTATCGAACTATTAGTGTGCACACCCCCTAACCAGGATTCCAAGCCCGGCGGGAAGTTTCCAACCTCGTAACGTGGGAATACGCCGCGTTACATACTCTAGGACCGCAATATCCATAAATATCTCCCGAGAGGAACATAGTCCAAACGGTATCCTCCAAAACCTCACCGATATAAATATTACATAAATATATCTCTCATGCATCAATCTCATGCATGCAACAATTCTACTACTTCTCAATGCATCAAAGAATGATATACCACATGCATATGGTTTTTGAAAGTATTCTTGGACTCACGTTGGCCCTTTATGCATTTTTGAAATATGACTCATGTGAAATGTTAAATGCTCTATAAACACTACAAGAAAAACTATTTTTAGTGACAAAAATTTAGTGACGGGTAGAAAAACCATCACTAAATGTATTATTTTCATAGTTTTTGTGAGGGTTAAAAATTACTCTAGCTAAAAGTTTATGATTTAGTGACGAAATTTAATTTTTATACTTATTTTAAAAGTATATTCTCACTATTGATATGAAAGGTGTTTTTACTCTCACTATTGGTGATGTCTAGAAATTATTTCGCTGAAATCTAATTCCCACCAAATTTTATTTTACCGCCTCTCTCAATTCTCACTTTCCCACCCCTCTACCCTTTTAAACACTTAAACCACTAAAGTCTAAACCAGTAAACCCTTTACCCTTACCCAAATTCCTAATTTCTCATTCTCTCAAGTCTGCTGAACCCTAGTCCAAACTCCAACCGCGCAATCGCAACTGCACCAGCCTGCCGTGCAATGCCGCAGCCCTCTCCGACTAGAGAGGAGTCGCAGCCCTCCACTCCGCCAGGTGCCAGCCCTCTCTCTAAGGCCGAAGCCCTCCCTCCAATCTTCACACAGCCCTCTCGCTTCACTTCCTCACGCCGATTCGGAGTCGCCGGTCGTCGCTCAGTAGCCTCAGCGCCTCAGCCTCCCGAGTCACGCCCTCACCCATCTCATCTCAGATTCTCAGCGCCGATTCTCAGCCTCCTGAGTCACGCTCAGCAGCCTCAGCGCCATTCCTGGTTATTTTCTTCTTCCAAGGTAATTTCTAATTTTTGTTTAATTTAAATTTTATATTGTATTCTTACCGTACTGTATTCTTTTTCAATTATCATTATGTATCTACACTTTCTTGTTAGTTGTTTCTGCCTATTTATCATTTTAAAGAACGAATCATAAAAAATAAAAAATTATATAAAGCATGTTATTACTGTCTAGGCAAATATATGAAGCGAAATATTTGAGTATGATGGGAACGTGGTCCTCTGTTAGTAGTTGTTTTAGACAAAGTTTTAAACTGTTCTGTTTTAGACTTTAAGTTAGGATCTTGTGATTGATTAGAAAAACAAGATGCAAGAAGAAGATAATTGATTGGGTAAGTTAGTAGTTTAGTACTGTATTTTTATATTTGTTTATTATGTATTAATTATAATATTCATATATCATATTCTCTTGGATGCAACTAAGCAGGTCTTGATGAAGGCATGAAGCATGTTAATGACTTTTGCAGATTGGTAGTATGAAGAGTGAAGACTATGAACTATGAACTTTATTTAATTTGTTTTGTGTGAGAACTATGAACTATGCAGATTGGCCCTTGGCAGTGTGAAGTGTGAACTTCACTGTGAAGTGTAAAGTAATTAACTTAAATGATGTATGCTTGTTATTGCTAATTTTCTATTGCATATTGCATATTGATAATTGATGTATGTTTGTTATTTTTATATACAGTGAGGCTAAGTAATTCATGTTGGCTACTGCTTAAGTAATTCATATTGGCTACTGTTCGTTTTTTGGTTGCCGCTATAACCGACCGAGCTGCTGCTGTGCTTGCTACAGAAGGTGGTCTGGTGGTGAAGAATTTTATTGCTACTTTAGATCCTGTAAGAGGTATGGTTTATTTTTGTGTTGTCTTTGTCAAATTTGTTTCATTTGTATATTTATATATATATTTGCCATTGGGAACGTTCAAGAGATTGTTGTGATTTATCATGTGATTGTGATTTTAGTAGTTAGTACTATATGTTATTTAGTGTGTTCTGCGAAGATTATGAACCATTTATTTAGTAATTTAGATAAGTGTAATTTACTGTAAAATTATTTAATAATTATTTAGGTAAGTGATATTGGCTTTGAATTCAGAAATTTTCTTAAAGACTGTTCTTTGCTTCAATTTTGCTAGTTCTTTCATAAATTATTTTATAATTCATAGATAGTTTTGGATTGGTTTAATGGATGCTGGATCTTAAGACTTTTAGCCATTTTACTGAAATCGTTACCGTCTATGATGCAGAACACCACAATCATGTCTGTTTTTTTATATCTATGTAAAGTTGTGTCAAGGAAGGGCTGGAGACTAGAAGTACTCATAAAGCATACCTTGGCTGGAGCACTTATACAGATCACTAGGTTGACCATTTTTCTGAGTGTCTTATGACATCAATGGGGTTTGCATCCCACTACTCACCTGGTCATCATTGTTATCAAAACGTTATTTGATTATTTCAGAATTTTTTTTGAAAGCAAAATATTGCAGAAACTGGAGGCCAAGAGTTGTTAAAGAATTGTTTGCTTAATCCTTTCTTGCGTTTTAGGTGAACGGCATGGGCCTTTGATATATAATGTTGTTAGGAACCGGATTGAGACGGAGTTCCCGGTGGTGGGACTGGATTGATGAGGTATATTTTCTTTTTATTTTGTGGTTTCATTATAAACTATGCATTAGATTAAATTATTGCATTCTCTTTGTTCTATACTCATGAATTGATACACATTTGAAATTTAATTAGATTGTGGTGATGATAAAGATTTTGATTTTTGTTGTTCAAGATTGCTCACCAAGACATGCATACACTAAATTGCTATAGTTTCAAGAATTTTGAGTGCAGCATAACAGTATACTATATTCTATTCTTAATTCTATACAAGAATAATTTTAAGTGTATATTGAGGAGGCATGATGGTATGACTTAGGCCTTTATGTTTAATATAGGTATCATTGCTCTTGAAGGACAATTTCTTTTTCTAATGCTCAATGTTATATTGAGGAGCATTCTTAATTCTAATGCTCAATGTTATATATTAACGGTTCTTTTTCTTTGTCTTGTGAACTAAGATCATGGACCATTCAATTTATATTTGACTTTGTTTCGCGGGATTTGTATATAATGTCACTATACTATTGAAATAATAAAAAAGAATAGGGCGATGTACACACAGAATAGTTCTATTGCAATCTGTATTATCATTATGTGATTATTATTAATCTTAACATAAAATTTTTGTTTAATCATATGCCATAGTAGATGTCACCCTTCTGCTTTCTCCTTGCTCTGTTACAAATATTGATAGATCATTTGATGAATTCTAAGCCTGGAAATTGTATGTCTTTAAGATTATACTAAAACATTTGGGGTTTTATTGACAGTCAAGAGACAGAGGCTTGTGATTCCGAAGTTGGAAGTGAGATGATAAGCAGGGGTTTGAGCTCACCACTGATCTTGCATGACTTGAGTAAAATTAGTTCAAATGCAAAAGACTTTTGGCAAAATAGCTAGCCAACAGATACATTCCTATGGCTATTTGTTATAATTAATTTCTTTGTCTTTAGTCTTTATAAAGTTGTATGAAACATTTTTTTTGGTATTAATGATGAAGTCTTTTAATATATTGATCGAGTTTACTTTGATTGCATTATGTACCAATATAATATTTATAGTTATAACATAACATAATATCGATTAGTGAGAAAAAAAATGTATTACAAAAATTAATATTTAATGAGAAGTAACAATATATACAAATTAAAAACTAATAATATTTGTTAGTAAATAGTAATATTAATGACGGTATTTTCCATCGTTATAAGAATATAATGAGAGGAAATTATGCTAGTGAGTAGTTGTATTAGTGACGGGATTTTTGGTCGTAAAAAGAACGTTTTAGTGACGGTAAATACACTATCACTAAATTGCTTATTAATGATGGTATCATATCCCGTCACTATTTGTTTTTATCTACGGAAGAAATAATGACGGGTGGTGACGGTAAATTTCCCGTCATTAAAAGTCTTTTATGATGGTTTTTAGATTTTTAGTGACGGTTTTACCTCTCATTAATGGACAATTTTCTTGTAGTGAAAATGCTTCTAAATCATGTATACATTAACATGAATTATTCAAGGATATATCATCATGCTCGGTTTGTAAAAATAGCAATTTCTAAACAATTCACTCAACAAGTATGCTTCTATTTTCATGGATCAAAAAATACATTTTAATCATGCTTTCATAATAAATCATATTCTCAAAGGATCATGCTTCTTTACTCAATCAGAACATTATTTGATCACAAAATCATCAATTTCTCAAACACATAGAGCTTAGCAAAATATACTTTATGAACATTTCTTCACAAAATCATTCATAGCATACTCGTTTTTAATCCAAATTCAACCAAATCAAAGTCAAGACGTGCGTCAAGACGATCCCGAAGAGCCGAGCCACAAGGGACCGTAACACTCGGCCCGAAACGACACGTAGCTGAGCCACAAGGGCCCGACCACTGCACAACATCTCATCAGAACAAAACTCAGGGACTTGGGGCGGGACTCTTCATGGTCCGCCCCTATAGACCTGTCACTACGCCAGGACTAGGCTACGGCCCTCTTCTAGGGCCGTGCCCTAGTCCCGTGGTGGCACGGCTCTAGCCGGCGGCCCTTTTGATGGGCCGCGGCTAGGGCCACCACTTTGGTCTGGTGCACACTGTGTTGTGCACCAGATAGCCTTTCACCTGCAAAAACTTGTCCAAACATGTCCAAAACAATCTCAACAACTCATAAACCCATACCAAAGCATTTCCAAGCATAAACACATCAAAAGCTCATAATTTCTACTCATTTCTACTCAAAACTAGGCTTCACAGAGCCAAATCTAAAGAGGAATCCATGGGGTTATACCTCTTGTAGACCTCTTCTTCTTGCTTGGTTATCTTCTTCCTCTTGGTCTAGCTTGAGCCTCCTTCACCACCTACACTTCCCAACACACCTTCTATCCTTAGCCTATATTCTTAAAGGCTAAAGAAAACTAGAAGAGAAATGATGCTAGAAAGGAAGATGAACAAGATTACTAGGTTGGAGCTTTTTTCCTTGGATGCTGGTAGACAAATGTGAGGAAGAGGCAATGAAAATGAGATCAGGAAAATGTGATGGAATGAAGGGTTTATATAGGGTTCAAAACCCTAGGATGATACACAATGATTGGTTGAGGGCAAAGGGGTAATTTCCCCAAGCTAAAAGATGACTTTATAAGGGATTTTCGGATGTCTTGTGGTCTACCATGCATCATGAACCATAGACTAAAAATGATATTTCTTTATTACTTTGGGGTGGAAAGTGAATTTTCCCAAAAGCTAAATAGATGAACACTTGTTCAAAATCCCCTTTTTAATTCTCCCGGTCTCACTCGGGTAAAATTCTCGATTTAAATCTTGGTACACAAAGTACCCGAAAACTTTGGAATTTTCGAATGAAATTCATTTCTTTGGTGTTGAATTAACTTTAAAATGGAACAAAAATTATTTTATTCAAACACCGATTGCTCGCAAAAATTTTTAATGGAGTGAAAAAGCTACTTTGGGGTTTCTTAACACTGAATTTATAAAATGAAATTTTGGGTTGTTACACAAATACCCCATAAAAATGACAATTTAACACTTATCAAAAGTTTCCATACTTTAGCATTGCTTGTCCTCAAGCAAGACATGGATCAATTCAAAACATAAGTGTTAAAATGTAGTTCACAAGACACTTAACACTCAAATGGAAAATTAATCCGAGGGTAGGCATAAGAATTAAACACATGGCATTCTTCATATTATAGAGCAAATATGGCAAACAATACGTGACAAAGCTAATTTAGGAGATGTCTAGCTGGCAGAGTCTAGTTGTGACTGTGCAAAGTGGAATGTCAACAACTTACCCTGTGCACATATCATTGCAGCATGTCAATTTCAAAGAGTTACGTATGACTCATTCATGCCGAAAGTCTTCTCCATAGAACACTTCATGATGAGTTATGCAGGTAATTTCTATCTACCATACTCAGAAATTGAATGGAAGAGTGAGAACATTCTACTTCCACCGACTTCCGCTAGACGAGATTCACGTCCAGGTCAAAGACAAACTCGTTGCTATCGAAATGAAATGGACTATGGAAATACCAGATCCACGCAGCAATTTACTTATTGTTAGGCACGAACTCATGCTTCAAACCAGTGCCCAGTGTTAAATTAGCAATCTTAGGAACATTAAGTCATTTCTTGTAAACATAAGTTCACTGAAAATGCGAATTGTTTTTATGTAACATTTTTTTCGATCGACCATTCATTGTATAAGTTTCACATTTTTTAATCTACACATGCGAATTTGTTTTTCCAGAAAAAAAAAATGTACCATAAAGCCAAAGCAAAAGGCACTATAGTTAGTGTACTATAACGCCTTTTCCTTTGGCATTATAAGTACTTTTAACGCAAAATGTTTTGGCGTTATAAGCCCTTTCTCCTTTTATAAATACCCCAATCAATCATCTCTTATTTATTTATAACTCACGTATTCATCAGAAGATAGAAATTTGGTTCTAACTTCTTACCAATCTACACATTTCTACCAGTCTACACATTTCTTTTCATCATGGATATATTTGTAGACCTTTCGAATGTCTCATGCATCAACCGACAACATTATAATATGAAATGTTATTTCGCACATACAATAAACAGAAGGAAATTATTGTATGTAGTTGTAGAGCATACATTACTAGATCAAAATATTTGTTTTGCACCTTCATCATGTGGAGAATATATAAAAATGCTAGGACTAAATGTGTCGGATCCAATGGCTTTTTAAAATTTTCAAGATGCTGAGTGTTATACCTACGACATTATCCTACAATAAGGCCTACAAACACTTCTCCTTCCATCACGTAAGTCATTTAATATTTTTGAATTTTATATTGAGGGTATTATTTTAAATGTCTATGTATAACTATTTTTTTCTTTGTTGTAGCTTGCAATGATAAAAAACATTTGTCGGATATTACTAGATGCACTATTGTATGATTTTTTATTACAATTACATCGCGTGTGACAATAGTAATTTTATCAATTTTACTTCGATATTTTATTTTGTATATTTTAATACCTTATATATATACAAGATTTTGACCTTTAGTAATTTTTTTTTTTTTAGAAAATTTCAAATTGCATGTACTGACATCTAATGCAGGATTTCACAACAATTACGATTTTGAAAGATGGTTCGTTGTTCGCAGTGGAAGTTTCTGTTGAAAACATGTACTTTACTATAGGAATTTATGAATTCATTAGTGCGAATTTGTTAAACCGTGCAAACAAGGTGCTTTTTAGATATACGGGTTTCTTCACTTTTGAAACCCTTTTCTATGACGTATTCGACAGGTTGATAAAGTACCCCCGTCGTCGTATTGTTATCCACATTCCTTCTCCCCCACATCAAACAGGTAAATATACACTTTAATGCATCGTCAAAATTTGTGTTACATATTACCACAACCATTAACTACTCTTTTTTAAACATTAGATCGAATACTTGTGATGGCAAAGTCAGATCTGGCTCCAGCATATTCAGTTGATGTACAAAGATGTCATTCTATACTGATTTCCCCATACCTGGAGTGGTGAGAAACAATATAATATTTTAATTCAACTTCTATCCTCTAACAATTATTTACATATTAATTTTCTTCTTACATTTCTATAGAAAGCTAAAATGTCTGCATTCCTCAAAGATTCAGACGCGTTCTCTGATGCTACATTGAAAATAGTAGTTGGATCTCGAAAGTTAGAGCTCTACTTTGACACAACTTTTTCACAGAACACAGTGGAAAAAATAACAATGCATTTTAAAAATAATACAACAGATGATGTTGTTTTATTCAATATGGAGGATAATGTTGTACTACTCATGGTTATTGGTCAATGTCATGTTGAAAATATTTATCCTTGGTTAGTTAAATATTTCATTCATGACAGTGTGTATGTTAAACTTAACGCTTTAAATAAATAAACAAATAAATAAATAAATAAATAAATAAATATATATATATATATATATATATATATATATATATATATATATATATATATATATATATATATATATATATATATATATATATATATATATATATATATATATATATATATATATATGATAATAATGACCTAACTTTTTGTATTTATCTTATTATTATAATCTAAATTATAATTGTGTTACAAATTTATTCTATTTATTATTTATGAAAACAAATAATAAACATTATTCATTAATCATACATAATAATTACTAATCATTAGTAATAATTGTTATAATCATTAATTAAGGATTGATATTAGTATAAGAAATAATATGGGTGTTTTTATTTTTACCACCCTCTCTAGTGAAAATTGGGTGTAAATAATCTTGGAATTGTAAAAAGGACAAAATTTTCAATAATTCATAGGTGATGTAAATAGCAATAAAGGTATAAATATGACTATTTATACCACCCTCATCAAATGAAATTTACGAGATTCTATTAATAATTTTTAAATTTAAAATTTAAAATTAAATCATTATTAAAAAAAAAAAAA